GACAGTTCTTCTTGGATAAAAGTAATTACGGACGGATTTCTGGTATTCTGAGTAGTATCAGGTTTGTAATACTGAAAGTTCTTGTTTCAATGCGATATGAGTCACTAGAAATCTAGAGTCTAGATTGTAGATCTAAGAGTTAAGAATAAGAGTAAGGTCCGTGGCTTATACCCAGTGCATTTTGCAGACAGTTGCGTCAAATCTACTTTTTATATATCATTATGGTTTAGGTATAGATCTAGATTTAGATCTAGATCTAGATCTAGATCTAGATCTAGATCTAGATCTAGATCTAGATCTAAATCTAGATCTATACCTAAACCATAATGATATATAAAAAGTAGATTTGACGCAACTGTCTGCAAAATGCACTGGGTATAAGCCACGGACCTTACTCTTATTCTTAACTCTTAGATCTACAATCTAGACTCTAGATTTCTAGTGACTCATATCGCATTGAAACAAGAACTTTCAGTATTACAAACCTGATACTACTCAGAATACCAGAAATCCGTCCGTAATTACTTTTATCCAAGAAGAACTGTCATTTCATCCCGACCAGACGGAAAGAAGCCGGCGAACCTCCTTTGGGGTATGATCCTTCCTTGAAACGTCTGCTAGCTTCTCCTGCTTAACCAACTGACGTCTTCCAGAGCGGCAAAACAAGAAAGCGAATCACCCTGCGCACTTCCGTTCTGTAGGTAAATGATCCACTGAAATGGGAAATGGTACAGTCGTCAAAATTCTAATGGCAGCACCAACAAACACAATACGCTCCGCTGGGCGCGCACAAAAGCCTGCACATTTCGGGTGAAAAGAGCGCTGGTTGGCCATAGCACTAGCTAGCTCCCTGTCAGCTCGACCGGCACTCTTCATGAGGAGCCGTCGACACCACGAGGGAGGCCAGACTTTTTAGTTTTAGTAAGAGTTTTACGGAACTTGCAACACAATAAGGTCATAAAAGTGCCGAAGATTAGAGGTGTTACAAGCGAGTAACTAAAAAGGAGGAGAGATCAGGATGATACATGTTTGATAGGAAAGGAGCAAACCACACCAGAGCACTCGCCAAACACCCACAGGCCAGACTAACAAGGTTTTTGTTTGTTTGTTTGTTTGTTGTTGTTGTTGTTGTTGTTTGTTTGTTTGTTGTTGTTTTGTTTTGTTTGTTTGTTTGTTTGTTTGTTTTGGGGGGGGTATAGGAAAACCAGCTGCATTATACAAGTCTTTATTTTTGGATCCAGCTAGAAAATGTCCTTTCCTGAACCGGGGGTACAGAGCTCAATTACATACGGCGACAAAAAGAGTTATGACACACAAACAACCATCTTATCGGAAAAAAGAAGAAATCTTAACTAATGGCCTCTTGAAGCACAGGCTCTAGCTCTTGTTGTTCTTCTTTTTTTCCCTTCTCTTTAATCTTCTAATTGTTGTTGATACTGTTGTTGATGCTTCTTCTTCTTCCTCGTCCTCTTCCTCTTCCTCTTCTTCCTCTTCCTCTTCCTCTTCCTCTTCTTCTTCTTCTTCTTCTTCTTCTTCTTCTTCTTCTTCTTCTTCTTCTTCACTATCAAGGCACTTGCAGCAGAATAATAAGCATTAAAACCCGATCAAATAAACGAACATGACATATTGATAGTTTTTTTTTCCTCTTTTAGTCATCGATTTTGGGTATGGTTCGAAGACAGTAAAAAGGGTAGGGGGTGGCAAACGGCCCTGCTTTAGTTCGAACGGGTCGTGGATTTTCAGAAGGAAGAGGAAAGCAATGAGCCGGAACTGTCCTATTGAACACACAGGGACTTGTAGACAAGAGTCAGTCAACACCCGCTTGCCACAGAGCTCTTTCTCTCGCTCCGCTTTACGGATTTGATAATACAGGTATCGCTTTTGTTTACGGACCTTTTTGTCTAGGTCCCTATGGCCGCAGCACGATGCATTAACCTAACGAAAACACACCCGGTGCAAGCGATGTTTTGTTTGAGTAGTTGAGATCCAAGCTAAACTACAAAAGAATCCAAGTCTTCTAAGTGTGTGAAAAAATACGTGGTAATACATACACCCGTGGGCAAGGGTGTGACTGTTACCATAAACAATCTGCCATAGGTTAATCTTATTCTTAGTTTGCTTTCAATACTGAATGGCCATTTATGAGGTCAGGCATCCGAATTTAATGCTCGTGTCCGACCGGGCAGAGTAAAGTAGAGGAGAATCTTTCTCTAAACAGTCACCATATTACGTTATCTGGCCTTATCTTGAGTTGTGCTGTGTAGCGTTGCATTGCATTATTGTTTTGTTTTGTATTGTATTGTATTGTACTAAGTGACTATATTATACTTATATTATTGCAGTATATTATATTATATCATACTATACTGACTTATATTATATAACATGTGTGTATTAAATTAAGGCCTATATATTATGTATAATATAATATATATATAATGTGTGTATGTGTGCCTGAGGTTATGTGTGTGTGCGTGTGTGTGTTGGTATGTGTGTCTGTGTTAATGTTTGTATGTGGTGTGAGTTTGACTGAGAGAGAGAAAGAGTGAGAGAGGCAGAGAGAGATAGAGATAGATAAAGTGGGAGAGAGAGAGGGAGAGAGAGAGGGTAGTGAGAGAGAGAGAAAGGGGGGGGGGGAGAGAGAGAGAGAGAGAGAGAGAGAGAGAGAGAGAGAGAGAGAGAGAGAGAGAGAGAGAGAGAGAGAGAGAGAGAGAGTATTGCAAGCCTCAGTGAAAAGCAATGAGAATGGCTTGCCTTGTACAATTAGTTTTAGGAACTCCCGCTAATCCCACAATATTGTTATAACAATTTGTAACCGGTTATTTCTGAGCAATACAGTCGTGAGCAAGGGTGTCACCGCTACCATAAGTTCTAAGAGCGGACCAGCTGAACAAACAAACTGGCATGGTATGGTATATACACGTTTATCTTGCTTTACTTTTGATTCTAAATGATCATTTACGAGGCCTGGCATCCGAATTTAAAATTCGTGTCCGACAGGGCCTAGCCAAGACAGGGTGAACCTAAAAATCTCTCTCTAAATATATACGGTGCATATCAGCACGTCTAGGTACCCGCACACACACATACACACACACACACACACACACACACACACACACACACACACACACACACACACACACACACACACGCACACACGACACACATGCAGTCAAACCTCGTTACACCACCCCTTCCCCGCTATACAGCCATGTTTTGCCAATGTACGAAAAGGAGCGCCATTACAAACAAAGTATGTGCGCCATTCATTTTTACTGCCAACCACCTTCCATTATCCGTCAACTGTCTGGGTTGCACGGTCCTTGTTGAGCTCATGTAAATTTATCATTTTCGCCGCTATAGTATACCGCAGTACTTTTTCTGAAAACGGGTTCATAGACAGAAAAACAGAAATTGCAACTCAAAAAGCCAACGCTGTCACCCCATCCTATCTCATCCAAACATCCCCATGGACACAAAGAGACAGTTTATCGCCTCAATATTCATGCATATGCCAACATTATGCTACTTGTGCCAGACCTGGACATTAAGTAAAACCCATGAAAGCTAAATCACCGTATGCGAAATGAAATGAAGACTACAGGGGAAAACGACGGTATTCACAAACGGAGAATCGCAAGGGTACCAATTTCGAACGCTTGTTGACTCATAACTGTATTTTTGTTAAACTGTGGGTTGATTATATTTATTGTTGTTAGATTTCCTATTCAACAATACTTAACAATAAACCACCAGTCAAACAAATATGAAGTTATGAGTGTACACGCTTTTAAAATTGGCACCTTCACAATTTCCAGTTTGTGACTACCGTTGTTTTCTCCCTGTGCTCCTCAAATGTCTTCGCAAATCCCTTAACATCACAAGACGAGACAGGCAGAGAAATGAAGAAGTAAGAGCAGCTACCGGCATCGAGTCCTGTCTGCATTACACAGAAAGACAGGGAATAAAATGGTTTGGCCACCTGTTACGTAGATCTATGTCACCTGGCCAGCCAGCCTCGAGAGCCTAAAACACCAAGCACTCAGGCTATAACTACATTTGTATAAAGGAAGAGGACGGCCACGCAAAAGGTAGATCGAGGGTGTCAAGGAAACCCTGAAAATGTGAGAAAACATGATATCACACAACTCAAAGAGCTGCGGATCTGGTCTAACATAGAAATTAGAAAACTGCATCTACCCTCGACGCTTAACGGCAACAGAGGATGAAAAAGTAAAAGTAAGTACCGAAAGCGAACTAACGTACACACTACACACAGCGCACGACACTCACTCGGTGGCTGCTTGATAATCAGCTCTTTCCCACACACATCTCTGTAAGCTGGGCCTGCTTCTGGCGTTTTTCGGCGATTTGCTCCTGATTTGCGCTGATTATGAAGTTCATGTTACATGTGTTATTTTCAGAGTTTTGCCAAAATTAGGGAAAATGGAATGAAAAGTTTTAAAATCACCTGGAGAAGCTTCAAAGCAAGTGTGCCACCTCGATCTGCTGGCAAAATATCTGTTGTTGCAGGAAATCAGCCCGATGACCAATGTGCTGTGAGACTTTTACACAGTGGCGTCCTAAAGAAACTTGAAAATGTTAAGCGTTAAAAGGACAATGCAGAAAGAGAATCAAGAGAACAGCTTTATGTGCGAGCAGTGCTACAGAAAGTTCGATACCTGGCGAGGGCTGAGAGTGCACCAGGGAAAAGTCTGTTTAAAGAAGAGAAGACAGTGCAGATCGTCAGATTGTAAGACGCGAAGCAAATCATCCCAGGATGAAAACCACAGCGGAGCGATTAGTGCTTCAGTCGACTCTCCTTTCACCCTGTCTCAGCAAGAGATGGAACAGCAAACGGAACCAGGGTTACGGAAACCCAGAATACTGTGGCCTGCTGCTAACGAGAAGGCAAAATACAAGACGTTAGAAGAAGAAGTCCAGAAGAAATTGAAAGAAGTCAAAAAGAGTTCTAACAGAGGGGATGCTAAAGAAATATTGAGTGCGTTTGCGACCATTATCTATGACTCGGCAATAAAAGAGTTTGGTATTTGTGAAGGAAAGAAAAAGACGGAGAAGAAAAGTGGATTGAGTAGAAGGCAGAGAGTACTTGCACAGCTAAGAAAACAGAAACGAGACTTGCAAAAGCAGAAAAAGTACGCACCACCAGAAGAGATAGAAGGCCTAAGAATCTTGTTTGAAGATCTTAAGAAAAAGAGCAGAGACCTACAGAGGCACGAAAGAAGGTGTACCAGGAGAAAAGAGAGAAAAAGGGAACGTGAACAATTTCTGAAGAATCCTTATGAAGCAGCCAAAAAACTGTTCACAGAGGCACGGAGTGGTAAATTGGAATGTACGAAAGAGGAACTCGATGCTTATGTTAAGCAGACGTACAGCGATTCAAGAAGAGAAGAACCGCTTCCTTATATGAGAGGCCTGAAGCGTCCAGCTGCCCCCGTCGTCAAATATTACCTGGGACCAATTAGAGAGAAAGAAGTAGATGAGTTCGTAAAACAAGCAAGAGCAAAAAGTGCACCTGGAGGAGATGGCGTGTCTTATAAGGTGTTCAAGTATTGCGACACGCTGAGACACACCCTCTTTGAGATGCTAAGAGGCCTTTGGAAAGACAAAGAAATCGTCAAAGATTGGTGCAGAGCGGAGGGCGTGTATCTACCCAAAGAACAGAATGCAAAGGAGATAGGACAGTTCAGACCTATTTCAATCATCAACGTGACGTGCAAGATCTTTATGGGAATACTTACAAAGAGGACTGTAGCATATTTGCAAAGTAACGGCTATGTGGATGAAACGGTACAGAAAGCCGGGGTACCAGGGATCCCAGGCTGCATCGAGCATGCTTTCACCATTTGGGACACAATCCAAGAGGCCAAGAAAAACAAGGAAAGTTTAAACGTAGTGTAGTTGGATCTGGCGAATGCCTACGGGTCTGTTCCCCATAAATTGCTGATGAAGGCAATGGATTTTTTCTACGTCCCACAAGAGGTGCAAAACATTATGAGAGAATACTATAGTAACTTCCAGATGCGATTCTCAACCGCAAATTTCACAACGGAATGGCACCGACTAGAGATTGGGATTGCAGCTGGCTGCTCTATATCGGTCATCTGGTTCATCCTGGTAATGGAGATGCTACTGAGATCTGCAGAATGCTGTGAAGAAGAAGCAAAGGTGAGATCACCAAAGAAAGCCTTTATGGATGATGTGACCCTACTGACAAGAGACGGAGACACAATGCAAAGTGTGTTGAATCGGCTCGATAAGCTTATCACCTGGGCCAGGATGAAGTTTAAAGCTAAAAAGTCTAGAAGCCTGACTATTAACAAAGGAAAACAGAAGCAACTGAAGTTCACAATTGCAGGGGAGCAAATGCCCACAGTAAAAGAACAACCCGTGAAAAGTTTGGGTCGGTGGTACTCAGGAACTCTGTCTGATAGGAGTCAAGGCGTGGAAATCATGAAGCAGGCTGAAAATGGGCTGAAAGCAATTGACCAGACAAAGCTTCCAGGAAAGCACAAGATATGGTGTCTACAGTTTGCCCTCTACCCTCAATTGGCGTGGCCACTGACAATGTATGAAGTTGCTTTGTCAAGAGTTGAGATGATCGAAAGAAAGTGTAACAGCTACATCAGGAAGTGGCTGGGGCTACCCCGTACCATTAACACGTCATCCCTGTACAGACATAGAGGTGCGCTTCAACTACCTCTCACGTCAATTGTGGAGATCTACAAAGCAGGCAAGATTAGAACCGTTTTGATGTTGAGAGAATCAAGGGATAAGGAGATCAGTGGAAAACCTCTAGATGTCAAAACAGCCAGAAAGTGGAAGGCAGAAGTTGCAGCTAACGAGATCATCTCTGCATTGGAGCATGGGGACATTGTCGGTCCAGCGCAACCTGACAGATTAGGGCTAGGTAATGGCGACTTTAGACCTTTCAGGAAAATGTCTCGGCGAGACAGAAGAAAAGCTGCAACAAGACATATGCAAAAGATGGAGGCAGAGAGGCGAGAAATTCATCTCATCCAGTGTAGCCAGCAAGGACAAATAACCAGATGGGAAGAGCATGTAGTGGAAAGAAAAGTCGGGTGGAGTGACATCTGGAAGTGGAATACATCAAGGCTGAGCTTTCTTCTCCGGTCTACGTATGATGTTCTGCCTTCACCGGTGAACCTTGTCAGATGGAAGGTACAGGAGGACAACAAGTGTAGATGCGGTAAGCTAGGAACCATGAAGCATATTTTGTCAAACTGTAACCTAGCTCTTAACAGATACACCTGGAGACACAACGAGGTGTTGAAAGTGCTCACGAAAATGGCGACACAACAGGTGGAAGAAGGAAAATATGCCCCCAAGATACAGAAGCATGGACCCACCAAGATTGCGTTCGTTCCGCAAGGAAGCAAGGTTGCCAAAAGAAAGAAAGCGAACGAAGCCATGAAAGACCAGAGCGGAGGCACATGGGAAGTAGCTGCTGACTTAAAAGGCTTTGAGAGATTCTTCCCCATTCCAACTACGAAAAAGCCAGACATTGTGTTATGGGAGGAAAAAGACAAAGAGGTACACTTGGTAGAGCTCACGGTGCCCCACGAGGACAATATCTATGCCGCTCATGAGCGGAAAGAAAACCGTTACGAGGCACTCGTCGAACAATGTGAGGAGGCAGGATGGAAGGCAACCCATTTTCCGGTAGAGGTAGGATGCAGAGGTTTTGTAGCAACAAGCGCCCGTAAGTGGATGAGAGTGGCAGGACTTACAGCAAAGAAAAGCAACGAACTCACAAACTCCCTTCAGGAGACAGCAGAGAAAGCCAGTCATTGGATCTGGTTGAAGCGAGAGGACTCAAGCTGGAATGAATCCTAAAGTTGGCAGCAGAGGAAAACAGTCGAACTAACATGGAGACTGCACATCGGTGAGGGGGCTCGGTGCGTCAGAAAAGCTGTAGAGAGGAAGAGCCCGAAACAGCGACGCATTCTCTCCTGATGATCTCCATGCTAGAGTCCGGGATACGGAGCGTTCGACGGTGAGCAGTGCATACGGCTGTTTAGACTACGTAAGAACCCAGTCATTGTGTTAAAGCCAAGCATTACACACTCATGTAGCATACCAATTTAAAACTTAATAAATTCTTTCTCATCTGATACATTAATAATTCATCTATTTTAAGAGACGCCCGAGATGCCGTCACTCAAAATTGACCTTAAAAATCAGGCTTGACAAAATTGTGCGAAATCAAAGAAAGTTAAAATTATTGTCTTCGCGCATGTATTGAGGAGCATCAATATTGAGAGAATGGCCATACATTACATATCCAATGAATGAAAGATTTTGCCTTTGCAATAAACAATATTTATATACGATATTTTGTCACGATAGCTTCAAACAAAACGGAAAACCACAATACCACACACAACTTGGACTTACCATTAATACTCAATAATAGTGCTAATTTTTTTACATGTATGCCTAAGAGCCATTGGTTTTGTGTAGGGTACCAATCCTTCTGGCATCGATTCTATTAAATTTCGGACATAATTATTTGTAATTTCATCAAAAATCTCACAGAGAGTTGCAAACACAGGGTCTGAATTGGGAGCAAAGTCGCTTCATTTCAGCCGCTGTTTCATGGGACTTCACATACCTGAAGGATTCTTATTGGGGCTGTTTACTGGTGACCTGTCCCCGCGGTTTTATGCATTCCACCCCAGACCACCCAAAAGCATTGCAGTTTCATGGCCCCTGTTCCTCACCGACAGATGATTATGTCCAAAATCTAACACAGTCCATGTGGAGAAAAGGTTTCGTGCTCAAAAATGAAGAAGAAACCAACTGCTCCTACACAAAAACAAAATTAAACTAATGAACACGTGAAACTGTTACGTCCAAGTTTTGTGTGGTATTTGTAACTGCTCTGTTTTCTAGTCTGTTTGAAAATATCATCTGAAGAAGCTGTTCTTTGCAGAGACAATAATATTCTATTTCATTTGACATTCAATACATGTCTATCCCACCAATGTTGATTCACTTAAATACACGCGCGAACACACTTTTACGTTTCTTTGATTTCGCACAATTTTGCCCAGCCTGATTTTTTAAGGTCAGTTTTGAGTGCCCATATCTCGGGTGTCTCTTAACATATATGAAATATTAACATGTCAGAGGATGCAGATATTATTTTGTTTTAAATTTGTATACTGCGTGAGCGGGAAGCACAAGGCTATAACACGATGATTGGGTGTTTACATTTTCAAGTTTCTTTTGGACAACACTACACTACATATATATATATACGCTCGTAAAACATTGTGAGGACTCATGTTCAAGTCTACGTAAGACAGGTCTAAAGTGACATGGGGACTGACGAGTACATGTATTGGGTAAATAAAATACAAATCATCGTACGCCTACAGAGTCCTAGATACATATTGACAAGCTTCTTTGAATTTGAATTTACGTAGAGTAGAGCATAGCTGGAGCCTGGAGCTGTACACAATGTAATTATGGTTGTTTCTCATTTTTCCGCTGCCCGTGGCAATCGCGCATGATAGATCTTGATCAGCCAAGATTGGCCACAGTTTGTCTCTTGTCTCTGAGTTTACTTCTTCTCAAGATGGCAATCGATACTACCCGTTATACAGCCAGCCAGCCACAATATACACTGCTAATATATATCTGTCCCTGTAGCATTATGCGATTGTGCGGCCGCGTTTTTTCGCGTAATTCTGCAACATTAAGTATAATTTTGGATTCCCCGCGGTTTTTTTCTCCATTTTTCACAAAACAATTAATTAACGCCTCGCCATGTAACTAAAGGGAAGTAATCAACGTAATAAGTCTCATTTAAGTGAAAACTTGGTTATTTCCCTTCTTAGAAGATCTTGATTATTGGTTGTGGGTTAGGGCTTTTGTTCCTTGAGCATGTTCTAATTTTTCAATCCATCAAAAGTTGTAATATGGTTCTAGTGATGTGCCAGCATCAGAGGTCCAGATGTCCTTTTTTGCCCCCCTTTTTTCTTTCCTATGTAGATCTACAACTGAAAATTACAGAGATTATATATATATATATTTTTTTTTTCTGACTGATGTGTATTCTTTTCCTTCCAAATACTCAACAAATTACTGATACAGATATGTTCTGTTTTAAATTTTTCTGTACATAAAACATGAAAATTCTTGCTGAAAAAGTGCACAACCTGTCGCGAATGGTGTTACGGTAACTTGAATTTTGGAATAATGTTTGCATGATTTCGCATTTTTCTCGCATAATTTGGCCATCTAAATTTGCATAATTCTACGGGGACAGCCTGACGCTAGCCACCCGACATCGGGCAAGTAGCACCGGTCTAAATTTTTTGGTTGCTTATTTATTAATTTTTTTTTTGACTGATGCGTATTGTTTTTAAAAAAAATACACAACAGATTACTGATACTGATATGTTCTGGTTTCAATTTTTCTGTAGCTAGCCTTACATAAAACATGAAAATTCTTCTTGAAAAGGACAAAACATGTCGCGAATGACGTTACGGTAACTTGCATAATTTTTGCATAATTTTGCATTTTTCTTGCATAATTTGGCATTCTAAATTTGCATAATTCTTCGGGGACAGATATCTATATTACAATATATATATATATATATATATATATATATATATATATATATATCATGTGTGCGCGCGCGCACGCGTGTGTGTGTGTTTGCCTACTTAATGTTCGATACGCTTTATAATGTCTGGACTAAAATGGTGACTAACATATCTTCGTTCCAAGACATTAATTTCATTCTCGAAAAATTGCTTTGTAGCATTAGCCTTATAGGGCGCCGCATGATAATAATTATTGCATTGGATCGTGCTGACTCATTCCCAAGAGTTCAGGTGTGGATTTTTCCACGGGTCTACTTTAAGTTTAAGTTCATTTTTTTGCTTTAATTTTGCAAGTTTAGTTTTTTGGGTCAGTCTTAAAACGATTGCAATTCAAAGACCACCAAAGATCTACTGTTTTTTGCAGTTGTTGTTGTTTTGTTTTTTTGTAAAAAACGCTGAGCACTTATATTATTAATTTGCTCTTTTTTTTTTTACAACGATAGGCTACATAGTTATGCAGCTCATTAAAAGCCAAAGTGGAATTCGGATTCAACGAAATGAGACAGATTCCCAAGAGTTTTTTTTCTCTTTTTTCTCCCATTAAAATGAACTAACTAGGATTCAGCGAACAAATACAATGATGAGCAAACTCTTTTTTGTTGTTGTTAGTGTTTTACGGTGCTCGCAACTGCATAAGGTCATATGAGTGCGCGGGACACATAACATTTTCAGTAGGTAGGAAATTTGGAATTTTGCCCAGGTGGCGACCGAAGGCTACTCTTTTATCGATTATAGACCGCCAAGAAATCTTTAACGTGTGCAACTTGCACACGGGTCATCCGAGATTTTTCGCCCTTGTCCGAGAAGGCTAAGTGTAGATCTTTCCTACCACTAGCATCTGCGTTTGTCACGGCTGCCACCCGCGAATCGCGGCCGCGATTTTTGGCATTTTTTGGTCCGCGAATCGCGGCCGCGATTTTTGCATTTAATTTAAAATAATAAAAAAACAGCCGGGGAATAAAAACTCGAATTTAAAAAAAAGAGGACTAAATGTTTAAAAAAAAACCAAAAAACAAAACAAAAACAGAAATCGAACCTTTTTACTTTTAGAAAGAAAGTTATTTTCACTTCTGTTGACACCGCGTTGATTTGTTATTTTCATGTGAAGAATATAAGTTCATTATAAACTATTTATATTGCTGTTTCTCTTTACTTTTTCCGTCTTTGTTAAGTTTGATTTGTTGGTATGCTATTTCTTTTTTGTTATTGTTCTGGTCTGTTGTTTTTCTTTTTTTGTGTGCGTGTTTTGTTTTTTTAGCGTAATCTCAATGTCATTTAATTTGATGTTGTTCCTACCTTTTGAAAAAAAAAATGAATTTGTTATGTTAGAGCGTGTCTCCACCAAAACCGAATACTGACACTGGGGGCTCTCGTGGCCTAGAGGTAGTCGCCTCTCTTTCAATAGGTCCCGGTTCAAATCCGAATAGCGACGGAAAATTTTCTTCTCTAAAATTGTCTTCTATCACATCCTTTCCTACTCTTTAACAATGTTCTTTTGTCTGCTTTCGTCTCCACTTTCTGCCCCCATCCCCTCAACCGCCTCCTTTGGGCTCCTGGCTCTTTCTGCAGCCTTTCTACTGCTACCCCTTGGCTCCTTCTTACTGCTTTCTTCCAGCCACATCCCTGATCTTATGGTAGGTAAGATCTACACCTAGCCTTCTTGGATAAGGGCGAAAAATCTAGGAGATCCCGTGTTGCGCACGTTAAAGATCCCTCGGTGGTCCCAAATTGATAAGAGTATGCTTCAGCCGCCACCCGGGCAAAATTCAAAATTTCGTACTAACGGGAAATGTTTGGCGTGTTCAGCGCCCTCATATGACCTTATGCACTTGCGCCGTAAAACATTTACAAAAAATAAATATTGACACTGGCAGGCGCCTTGTGTGAGATTACGTATTTTACATGTAACAACCTGTCATTTTTCTTGAATTACGCACGTATAGGGTTAAAACGGCCAAACTTCGGATAGGTGGACACACGCCCGTATTTGTTAACTTTTGTGGTTGTTTATTTGCTGTTCTAATTTTGACTTCATTCTGTTTCGAAACCTGTATTATTTTTCACGTTTTTACACTCTGTGTGGCTACAAATGATATTCTGGATGCTTAAAACAGAGCACAAGAAATTCTGGTGCTTTAGATTAAGTTACCTCTTTCAACATATTGCCATATCATATACATCGTCACAGAGAGCTTTAAAAAGGCTTGAAAATTGATGGCAACTTTTATGGCAACTTTTGCCATTTTTCAATTTTGTGGCAACTATTGGACAAAAAAAATGGCAACAAACGCAGATGCTAGCTACCAAAAGATCAGGGGTGTGGCTGAAAGACAGCAGTAAGGAGCAAAGCAGTAGCAGTAGAAAGGCTGCAGAAAGAGTCAGGAGCCCAGTGGAGGGGGCAAATGAGGTGAGGGGTGGGGGCACAAAGTGGAGACGAAAGCAGACGACGGAACAATGCTAGAGAGCGGGAAAGGAGGTGAAAGTGAAAGGAGACAATTATAGAGAAGAAAATGTTTCGGTCGCTACCAGGATTCGAACCCGGGACCTTTGGATGAGAGGCCCGGGTGGTGGCCAAAGCATACTCCTAACGATTTTGAAACACCAAGGGATCTTTCAGTTTAACATGCGCAACTTGCACATGGATACCCTGTACTCTTGAAAAATGAGAATCGAATACGCATGCAAAACTAAATGTGATCTACATGACAGATGTTATCTGTTTGTCTTAGCCAACAGCGAAACATGAATTGGAAGCAAATCAAATCTGCGTAACTCTGTGCTATCACATCAGTCGTAATTTATATAGTGCAATGCAATTTGAACTAAAATTCAATCGTAACTATTATACACTCCAAACCTTGGAAAGACAAAAGAGGACTCGGAGACAAAAACAAAATTCTTTATACACAAAATTTTATTGTAACTCAATGACCTAGTTCTCAAAGGGCATCATAGTTGACAAGGAGGACATGTATCTATCAGTCACAAAGCAAGACAAACTATGACATCTCTTCTCGACATTTCCAATCTTCAGTCAGCTACCTGGCAAACTGCTTCATTCATAAACACACATCACTCATAGCTGATTTGAAAAGCAACGAAGAGACTTATCTCTTTGCTCTCATCATCACAGAAATGTTTTCACTTATTAAACATAAGAATTTTAGAAAACTCCATCAAAACACAAAAAAGTATCTGATCTGTCTTAATGACCACCTTAACAACTACTGCCATTTTACACAGACTGCTTGATTAGGTTGGTGTAGGTCTTAATCTTGGTCGCCATGGACATATCGACGAAACGATCACCGATGGTGATTTTCATGCCTCCAATCAGAGATGGATCAACCTGAAGGGAAAAAAATGCACGGACAAATTGAATATTTGGGCATTTTTTTTTTTTTAGTAGAGGTTTTACGGCCCTCGCAACTGCATAAGGTCATATGAGCGCCAAGGGGTGTATGTCAAGAGAGAAGTCCTTACATGGAATCAAGACTTACTCTGCTCACCTCTCTAGCTTCAACAGCACAAAGTCTGCTTCGACTATCACTATCAAGGTACCCTGGAAATAGCGGGTCACAAGAGAGTGACAAACCGACAGTAGTTTAACATGTGTGCAATTTGTGCATGGATACCCTGTACTCTTTCGCCGACAGCACGCAGGAAAGTGTTGAGTTCCTGCGTGCTGTCGGCATCGCTGACCCTTTATGAAGCCACACACACACACAGAGAGAGAGAGAGAGAGAGAGAGAGAGAGAGAGAGAGGGAGGGAGGGAGGGAGGAAGAGAGAGAGAGACAAAGTGAACCGTAGAGAGTGAGAGAGAGAGTCAGAAAGCTACACAGACAGACAGATGGACATACCGACACGCAGACAGACGGACAGACAGACAGACAGACAGACATACAGACGAATACAGGGATGGACAGGCAGACAGAGAGACAGACAGACAGACAGACAGACAGACAAAGCGGACAGAGATAGTGTCCCAACCTGACAAGGCGATCTTTTGTTTCCGGTTGTGACAAGAGCAGACAAGGGGGACAACTCGCGCCTGGGATAACAGACTGCTGTTCTGATTGGATGTGTCAATCACGTGGGCTAGAAAGAAGATGAAAGTGTCGACAACAAGGGAGATTACGATAGAGGGGGTGGGGTG